ACTCCGTATTTAACTTTTTTATATATTTATCCAAAAGTCTTTCAGATTGTTTTTTGTAAGGAAAGTCTTTTAGAATTTAGGATACCAAAATTTATAATTTTTACTGTGCAATTATCCATAACTTTTAAATTAAGTACTCGGTATTTAACATTGATTTATTGGAGCCTCAAATTAAATCATATACGAAGTATCATACTGCGAAGTCACGGTTTGATTTCACACGTATTAAGAAAATAAATTTACTGAGGAATAAACTTTACTGTAAAATGCACTGTTTTGACATTGTTTGATAAATTTTGCACTATTTTGTACTATTTTGATATAAATTTATTTATCAAACAAATCAATGTGACTGTTTGGGGACATTCAAAAATGAAAGTGTGACATAATTTAGGGATGGAGAAGGTATAATTGTCGTCCAAAAAGACAAAGGTGCTAATTATATACATCTAAAATGATAAAATTTACTTGTATAACATACTTCCATACCACTACGAGAGTACCAGGAAACAATTTACGAGGAAATACGTACCATCGTACATGTATAAAATTATAAATTACTCGTATATATCTGGGTCCAATGGTTATCATTTTTGTTGGAGATTTATGTATAGAAGCAAGAAGCAAGAGTAGATGAAAGATAAATTAAAATAAGAACGAAAGTTGGGTCATTGAGGTTTAGACTTTATTTAAATTTAAACTTGACAACTCCTATTTTATACTCCGTATTAATTTAAACATTTATCTATACTACTCGGCATTCAACTTGAATAATACTTTACTCTATGAGGTAATTATGACTAAAATTCAGGTCCTTAAATTATTATTATCATATTATTTTGGTACTTGAACTAATAAATATATCATTTTAATCCTTCTATTTAATCCATATTATTTTGATCCTTTTGTCAACTTATTGCCGTTAAACTAGCATAATGTGTATACATGAAAGATCAAGTTGACCTGTACGCCCGTACCGATTGTACACAATTTATTTTTTTAATAGCAATCTTCTAAAATCAATAGCTGTGAGGATTCAAGAGAGGCATCAGATCGACATACCAAAAATGACTCATATCAAATATGATCAATTTTAATATTTCAATCTACAAAATCTAAGGGTCTGTTTACTAACAGCGATATTTTCCAGTTTTCAAGAAAACTGGAAAACTGGAAAACAGAAAACAGGAAACGTGTTTACCAAAGAAATTCCTGGAAAACTGGAGAAAGCAGAAAAGAAAAACGCGTTTACCAAATCGTTTTCCAAAACGAAAAAAATGAGACATGTCTCTATTTTCCTTAATGATTTGGAGAAGTGACTTTTACTAGTTTTCCAAATTTGGAAAATGCAGATGCTACAGTACCGCTGCAATGAATTTGCATACTTACACCTAGTGGTGGGTCCGGTCCCGCTCTGATGTCGATTCCATTCTGGTACCTCCACCTCGTACCTTACCCCTTACCCCTACCCTACCCTACCCTACCTTACCCACTCAACCCACCCCGCATACCCATTTTTCCCTATAATGACCCTACCCCACCCTGGCCCCACCCCGATCCACCCTACCCTACCGCCACCCCCCTACCACCTCAACCCCACCCGGACCCATCCTACCCTATCCCCACCCGTATATTACTCCTTACCCCTTATCATATGCCCCTACCTCGGCCCCACCCCACCGCCATCCTACCCCCACCATCGTACATCCATCCTACCCCCCATCCTTCCGCCATCCTACCACCATTCTACCCCCCACCCTTCCCCTACCTCGGCCCACCCCCATCAACCCTACCCTACCGCCACCCCCCTACCACCTCGACCCCACCCCGACCCACACCACCCTACCCCACCCGTATATTACTCCTTACCCCTTACCACATACCCCTACCTCGGCCCCACCCCACCGCCATCCTACCCCCACCCTTCCTCCATCCTACCACCATTCTACCCCCCACCCTTCCCCTACCTCAGACCCACCCCGATCCACCCTACCCTACCGCCACCCCCTACCACCTCGACCCCACCCCGACCCACACTACCCTACCCCCACCCGTATATTACCCCATACTCCTTACCACATGCCCCTACCTCGGTCCCACCCCACCGCCATCCTACCCCCACCCTCGTACTGCCATCCTACTCCCCACCCTACCCTTCCCCTACCTCGGCCCCACCCAGATCTTGGGCCCACCCTATCGCCATCCTATCCCACTACCCCTACCTTACTCCTACTCCAACCCTACCCAGTACCCCCACCCTTACCGCCATCCTACCCCCCACCCCCTACACCTTCCCTACCTCAGCCCCACCCTGGTCCCGGCCCCACCCTACCGCCATCCTATCCCAACTCCATACCCTACCTCTACCTCACCCCAAACCCTACCCACTACCCCACCCTTACCCCTAACCACGACCCTAACCCACCAACTACCCCCACCCAACCCCCTACCCTAGACCTTACCACCCCACCCCACCCCGACCATACTCCTTACCCCCACCCCCACCCATAACTTCCCTACCCCGACCCCTATGAGTATATATGGGTGGGTATGAAGGGTTGTGGGGGAGTATGGGTAGAGTGTAAGATCGTGGTAAGGGTAGGGGTCAAGGGTGTGGAATTAGAGAACTGAGTGAAAAAATTGATGAACATGTTTTCAGAGTTGAAAATGGAAAACTAAAAAATAGAAACAGAAAATTGGAGATAGAAAACTGAAAAATAAAAACGGAAAATTGGAGAACGAAAAACAGAAGTAGAAAACAGGAAAAAATCTCTGTTAGTAAACAGGCCCTAATATTCTCTCCGTTCTACAAAATCTAATACTCTCTCCTTTTTTGTTTTGATTTTCTAAAAGATATGTGTGTTTTTAACTTTAACAACAACGATGCATATGAAGAAAGCCATTAGTTATAAATTAAGATAAAAAAATTATACACGATTGTATATATTCTTAAATGTTATTATTGTTTTTAATAATATTTCTTACATAATGAATTTAAATGAGTAGGTATATAATATTATTAAACGCGACAACTCTATCATTCATGAATGTTTATGTGTGAACATTTTTACGCACAAATACAACATTATTAATCATATTTATGCAAAAACATTGATAAAACTATTATTTATATGTCTTTGTCTAGTCTCTGCCTAAATTTATTTGGAATAAATTTATTTTTCGACCAATAATTTGGAATAAATTTATTTTTAATAATAAATGAATATAAACTAGAGTATATATACAAATATTTCATCCGTCGCGTAGAAAGGTTTCTACACGATTTACGATATTCGATTGATCATAAACTTAACTAATCCTTGTTCGTAATTAGATTTTTTGTGGTAAATAAAATTTACATATTAAGAAACTTCATTAAACAACATACAAAGTCGCAAAAGAAAAACTCAAATTCGATAAAAGTTGGATATATGAAGTAAAAGATTAACAAGATTTTACGTTGACAAGAGAATAGTGGACGAGATTCTTTGAATGAATAGGAAATAGTACTATAAAATAACATTTCATATCCGAGTAGATTAAGATTTTTTATTTAGATTGAAACTTTTTGGTTTGTTCTAGTCCGATCTGGTCTGGTCTTATCCGATATATATTTGGTCTCTATGTATTTCATAATTATCGCGCGAGATCTGGTTTGATCTGTTTATGTCTGATCAAGTCTGATCTGTTCTGGTTTAGGACTGAAATAAGTTCAAATAAAAACTTCTAAAATATATTGCATCAGAGTAAATATGATTAGACCAAACTACACCCAATAAAAAAAAATCAATCCAGTAAAAAACATCCTAACTCTATTTCAATATGTAGTTAGTTATGTCACATGTTAATTTAAGATACTTGATCACAAAAAATAATTATAGGCTTCGATGTTAATTTAAGATGCTTGATCACAAATTTGGGATGTATTTGTTTCTATTTTAAATCTCACATGGATGTACGTTACCTACGTATATTAACCGTTAGAAGGGGGCATTTGCCCTTCTTTGATGAAATATAGGGATTTATGCTCCAAAAATAGGTTTATGGGCTTGAATGCACTTTATTGACAACTACTATGGCTATGTTTGGCACAACTAGCTGGATCTAGAGACTAATGTCTGAATTAAGGGCTATTGTCTGAATTAGAGGCTATTGTCCGGAACTGAACATTGAAGTGCTGAATCCGAATTGATAGCTGAATGGAATAGATCTGTTTGGCAAAATGAACTGAACAAGTGCTGGATAATATGAAATTACAATAAAGGACAAACGATTTATCAATAGAATAAAAAATTTATTATAAATATTTTTAAAATTACATTATACATAAGACATACGTAGTATGATTTTATTAAAAGAAGATAATATGCATTTATTACGTAGTATAATGTTTTTACATTCCAGTGAATATGAAGATGTTATATGTGGAGACGTGGAGTATGTATGTATATCAGTATATGCATATATGGAGTACATACCAATAAATAAATATGTACGTATATATTCTGTATAGTTTTTTCTACATCCAATATATGAAGCCTGTGATTTCTGCCCCTGCGTATATTTCAAATAAAACCAGTTGAATCCATAAAAAACAATTGAATTGAAGCTGTCGTTTGTTCTTATATAGTGCTCAACAGAGAGCCAGAGCTATTGGAAAAGGAATACGTGAGGGCTAATAACGGAAAGATGGCAGCGGCTGAATCGAAACGTTGCTCCTTGAAACGTTTTAATTCAGTTTACTTTTTCCAGCTCAAGTTCATATCAGCCTGTTATCCAAACAGCATTAGTTGTATAATAATCGACTGAATGTTATTTATTTCAGCCCATTTTGAGCTTATGTGGCTTACCAAACACAGCCTATATGGATGGAGTTTTTTGCCCATTTTCCCTAAAAAAAATAAGTTGTTAAACGACACTTCTCAACTTGGTCTCTAATGTATACGCATTCAGTTAGTTTAACCGCTATAAATTGGAGAAATGGTGCCCAATAGGACCGAAACATACCTCATGTATCTAAATAGGAGTTAAATGAATTTTATACCTAAATAAGACCATATTTTTCCGTGTTTCCAAAATTACTCTGTATTTCCTTTATGTTCGCTGTTGACAATTGACAAACGCAGGCTCCTCTTTCATACCATAGGCGAGTAAGGCTTCCCTGTAACAATGACGCGGCTCCTTGGCGGAACAACGGAGGCGGGGCGCGGAAGTTGAATAAGGTGAGGCGACAGTCGCGCGGTGGCAGATCCGTTGACGACGAAGAAACCATGGACAGAAAATTAAGTGCCGTCGCCGCCTTCGAAGATGTTGCAGATCCGCTCTTCCTCCTCGTTTCCTCCTTGTTTATTCCGTCACTCATCTTTTTCTCTCTCTTCTACTTCTCATCCGTCATCTTGCAGATCAGCTCTTTTTCTTTCTTCTTTTCTTGCGTCTTTGATGTAGTTTGGTCGTGATTACTTTTGGTTTTGTTTCTTGGCTTCTTTCTATTTGTTGTTCCTGCTATTGGATAATGTTTCTTGCTATTTCGTAATTTCATTTCCCAAAATTGTAATATTATTTTGTTTAATTTTAATGTTAATTGGTTTTTTTATTACTTCGTTAATTCATTTTAACCCTTGCAATGTTAAATTTGTACCACCAAAGTGATAGATCGATAAATGTTGCCACTTGCCACCATTATTTTGTTCCAACAATGATATATTTTGCTCTTAATAATGATACTGTGAGGAAAATGTATAGACAATGTCATACTGTTAATTATTACAATGTGTTTTTTGAGAGATTAACAATGACGATGCTAATAAAATACGTTAACATTGTGACATCTTTTCTAACTTTTTATTTTGTTTGTATTTCACAAAATGATTTTGTTTTATTTTTGAAAGGTTTCACGCAATGACATTAATTTTCAAACAATTGCATTACAATGTCCATGCTGATGTCAATGATTGTTACGTCTGTCATTGATATTGACATTGTCATTAATACCATGTCATTTTTATGGTATTGACATTGTCATTGTTACTATTACAATGTCATTGTGTGCCATTGGCATTGTCATTTTCATTATATGACATTTTGCCAGTTTATACATTGTAAATTTTTACAATGATATGACATTGACACTTATCTCAATGTCATCATCGAAAACAATAACACTTATTGACAATGTCATAATGTCATTTCTATAGCATTGAAATTTACAATGTCATTTTGAAATTATTGACATTGTCATTGTTACAATGTCATTTTTACAATGTCATTTTTATAGCATTGACATTGTCATTATCATATATTATTGACATTGTGAAAGTTGTCTGACATTCTGATAGTTTTCCGATATTGTCAACTTTTCCGACATTCTAGACTTTATCACAATTTGAACAATGACTTTAAATTACATTCTCATAATTCCTCCGTTCTTTTTTAGATAGTATATTTATAATATTAGACCTATCATCAATGCTTTTATTATATTATATATCACCAAAATTATTTAACAATATGTACTCGAATTATGTCATTTAATTAATTATTACTTAAATAAATGTGTCATTTTGCAGGTAAAACTTTTCAATAGAGATAGTAATATTTAGGCTAAAGGGTCAAATAGGTACATGAACTAACTTAAAGTGTTCAATTAGCCCCTTATATAGGAGGTTCTACCCGGCCGTCGTCAATTGGGGCGGTTCCCGGTGGAATTTTTTGATGAAATGTTTTGACCATGTTCTTCATTAAGTCTAGTTTATCCATACCAAATTTCAGCTAAACATTTAACCGGGAAGGCAGTCAAATGATTTTTTGAAGATAACTGCGCAGTTAAACAGCGCAGTACATTTCGGAAAATCATTTGACTGCCTTCCCGATTTAATTTAAAGCTGAAATTTGATATGGGTAAACTAGACTTAATGAAGAAGATGCTCAAAAACTTTCATCAAAAAATTCCACCGGGAACCGCCCCAATTGACGACGGCCAGGTAGAACCTCCTATATAACGGGCTAATTGAACACTTTAAGTTAGTTCATGTACCTATTTGACCCTTTAGCCTAATATTTATTAATTTACTCTCAATTATAAATATACTCCGTATTTTCCAAAATCAATAATGAAGCCAAAAATTTAATACCATTAATTCATTAAATGAACCTGCAAATAAAATAAAACAAAATGAAAATGAAAAGTAAAACAAGAAAAAGCTACGGAAGATTGGCAGGGGAGGGAGGGGAAGAAGAACAACCCAAAAATTACGAATATCAGATCTGCTCCTCTGCTAATATTTGGGGCATAGAAGAATCTCACTAACAGCTTCGAAGAGGGAAGAAAGGAGGAGGAGCCTATCCGGATCCGGAGTCCGGACCATGCCATCGCCCATCGGCGACCACCCCGGTGATGACTCGCACAGGCGATCATTCCGGCAGTAATCAGCAGCGAACCGACGGTGATTATGACCTCCAATCGACGAGAACGATTCCTTAGTATAAATCCGGTGCTCCATGGTTGTTATCGGCTTGGCAATATGTTCGCAGCAGAATTGTCAAAGCGGGCATGTTTAAGGGCATTTTTGTCCCTCCGTTCATAATTAATCCTACACAGGAGTTTAAAACTTTCAACTCCTATTTACATTCCTAAGACTTTTTTTAGTCCTATTTAGGTCTTTCTCCCTATAAATTGACAGAAGGATTAAAATAATATCGACTAAATAGAATAAGGATTAAAATGATACTACGTATATTTATTAGTTTAAGGACTAAAATAATATGATGATAATAATTTAAGGACCATATGCATTTTACTCGGTAATTATAGATAGAGTATTATTTAACTTTGTCATCTTTGTCATATGCATTAAGATCTTCCGATCCGGTCCTTGCTTTCAACTATTGACAATGCCACATATACGTTTCCATGACTAAATAAGATGTAATATACTATGAAATTGTATCCTTATGAGCTTGAAACGTCATGGTGATTGAGAGGAGGCACATACATGCGAGCAATATAAATATAAATTTCATACCCAATCTTGTGACAATTAATGTCGTTTCATAATAACATTAATTTTTTCATACTAAAGTCCTAGTAATTTGAAATATGACACCAGGTCATAATTTTAGGATGATCATAAGTTACTCCTTTATAAAAAAACAAACATAATACTCTCTTTCAGGACGGAGCTAGGTATTAGCAATTTAGCATGTCAAATGACACCACATGGATTTTTTTTTGCGAGGGGGAAAAAATAGTTATTGTATATATATATATATATATATATATATATATATATATATATATATATTGAAAATTTTGATAATAACACCACAATTGATTTTAGAAATGGGATCAATATACAATGAGTTTTTTACAAAAATATTAGTGAAATAAAACTTATTTACATAAATATGACTAATAGTTACTACAATGTAATATCATGGTAACTTAAGTTTAAAAATTGAACATAAGTTACTATGATTTCATTAGTACACTAGTCACTGGTCACATTTTTGTAAACAGTCTTTATTTTAGTCATACATATGTAATTATTTCATATTTGTATACTCTAGTTTATATTCATTTATTATTAAAAAATAAATTTAATGTCAAGATTATTATTGATCGTTTCTAGTAGTAATTAATGTCGAGATGTTAACTAATTGTCATCTTAGCAACACTCCCCAACATTAATATAGAGATAGATTAAGGAAAGAATTAATATTCAAGGAAAGAAGTTAAGAAAATAACTCACAACTTTAACAATCAACAAGCTTCAAGAGCAAAATCAAGCTCAAAAGACTACCTAAAGTACAAGAATAATGTGTATATTATGAGGGGATTAATTAATATCTAAAATAGGAAGAAAAGGGGTGTTTTTATAGGAGAAGTGAGGTGGTTAGGTCTAAGACATAATATGATTTTACCATGTTCACTTGCTTTATTTGATCTCTTATGATCTCCAGGTCAAATCATATCCGATTTTTCACATTTCTTTGTCATCCTTGAAGTTTCCTCTTGTCTCCAATGCTCCTTCCTTATGCTCCCAAGCTCCTTCTTCTTCTTTTCATCATGTTTTTGCTTACATGTCAAAATATCTTAACATCTTCTAATTCTACATACTTTAATTTTAGAAGATAAAGATTACACCGTAATTGTACAAAAGCTAAGTAAACATAATGTAAAACCATTCTAAAATATGGTGTTTATGCACTACTAAATAGTACGCATCAAATACCCCCATGCTTAATCTTTTACTCGTCCTCGAGTAAAGTGCAATTCAATTAAGTTCAATGCTTAGGAGTGTCATGTATCTTCCCACATTTAAAATTGATTTCTTCTCCCAAGGTTTTATCTGTTCATGCTCCCCCATGCTACGCTTTTTGTGCTAGCCTCCTTTGAATATTTCGAGAAGCTCTTTGAAAATACCCGATCGAGTATGGCCTATACCCGATCCGGTATCTTGTTGTTAGATACGAAATTTTCCCCTGCAAAAATTAAAAGTTATCTTGTTTTCTCTCATTTTGCCTAGGAGTCCTTTTCGGGGTTTCAGTTGGGAATATGGATTTGGGGTGGAGTAGAGGATCAAAGTCTGTACCCGCTTTTTTCAATTTATTCAAGGTAAATGAAAAAACATAAAAGAAAATTAAAAACAAAATTACACAAACACACAGTTCAAAAGTTGGGGGATACAACTTTAAAAAAATTGCATTTTCATCCACACTACCTTCTTGGGAGTCTTGGATTTGACAATATACCTCTGCCGCAACTTTTTCCCGTTAAAATTTAAATTAGTAGTACTAAAATAAATAAACTGAAACATATATAACTAGTTAATGTAACTACAAAATAATGTAGCTAGTTAAGATTAATTTAATATTTCACTTGTAAAGCAGTCTCCGATTCAAAGTCTACCTTAAACAACATTAATTAAAAATAAAAAATTTAAAATAATTATGAGAACAATTTATAACAATGTTTAAGTACGAGTCTCAACACAATATCTACCATCCCTATATTGAGACAGGATGGCAGGACGGGTGTTGGTATTTTCCTCTTTTTTTTTTCTTTTTTTATTGATTCAGGTGTCGTGCTTGCGCTCCCCTAATCTTGGAGTCTATTGACTACCCTCTAAAGTCTCCAGACAATCAAATCCGGATCTGATCACAGTCAACCTCGACGGTACTGGTACTACAGGTCGAATCCAGCAGGATTTCCTGTCAACTGAATCCAGAAAGATTCTCCCATGCGTCATCCCACGACTCGAGAAGGGTGTTTGTATTTTCACTTCCAGTCTTACTCTTCCTCTTACACGCCTTTACGGCCAATGGGCCAATAAACCGTCATTGCCAGCCAAGTTCCCTCATCTTTGAGGGAGTGTTTGCAATTGCTTCAACTTTAAAAAAGTGATTTTTTAAAGTGATTTTGGGAAAAGTGATTAATAGTAAAAGTTGGTATTGTTTGAGAAAAAAGTGATTCTAAAAAAGTAAAAGTTGGTAGTGTTTGGTAAAATAAGTGCTTTTTGTGTAATAGAAAAAGTGAAAAGCAGTTTAAAGCACCCTTCTACCTGCTTCCAGCTTTTAGCTTTTAAATGATTAATTTAAGCAGAAGTTGTCATTTGAAAACACTCTTTTCAACTTTTTTTAAGCCAAAAGCTGAAAAACGCTTCTTTTAAGCAACCGCA